TTGTATTTAATTTTCTCTCCTTGTTTCAGATTCAGCGGTGAATGAAGCAGCCAAGATAATCCGCTTATTACATGTAACGGATCTAAGAGAACTACAGACGAGGATTAATGAGGCGATAGTAGCCGTCCAAGCGATAACTGCTAATCCCAAGACAAATCAGTCACTTGGACGCGTTGGCGTATGAGACAAATCACGGTATTATAGGGCAATAAGCCGTTATCAAGGGGCTGGCATTGCTTCTTCAGGCTGACACCGGATCTTATTTATTGCTGTTAACCCCTTTTAACCCCGGTCTCGATGACTACTCCAGACCTCAACACAGCAAATGATACATGTGTACCATTGGTGTTTTTAAAAACACAGTATGAAAGGTGACAAATTTGAAAATGAAACTAACGAATATTTATCTCAAAGTATTAAACTAAAGTTGGTTTACTCGAAGTCGGTTCGATGTACGCGGCATCCATCAGCACCTGAACTCTTATGCAAAGTTTATTTAAAGACTTGTATTAAGAATAAATAAGAAACTTTATGATTATTGGTCTCGTTGTTGTGGTTGTTCCTGAACACCTATCTTATTCGACTGAGTTGGGGGAAGGCGGGAGAGGGACATTCTATTGGGTTTTTTGTTCGAAAAGAGGGTCAATTGGAAGAGGCCATTCACATAAACTACAAACATCGTCAAAAGTGCTGGGAAGGCTGGCTACTTTTTTCCTCATTTTTACTTCTAATGTTGAACAAAATATGAGTGTTTGTAGGCGTAATTGTTCTATCATATCCCAACATTGAAAAGGGGGGACGAGGTATTTCGCAGGATGGAGAAACATCTTTTGAACATTGAAATGAACTACTGTTAAGTTTTACAACCTTCCCAGCTACATATACTTTTGTCCGGGATTAAGTCAGTCTACTCAGGGGCTTTCTCAATGACTTGATTAGATATGGGGCTAACCCTCAATAATGTCACACAGTCATTCCTCTCCTACTGACACCTCCCCGACTGTCGATAAATGTTATTTGTCACAAATGAGCCCGCAAAGAAGGCAGAAATAAATATTTTGACAGCACGAGATACAACAAGGCTTAGGTACTAGGCCGGGGGCACCACGGGTAGCCATACCGGGGGTATATAAGGCTGCGTATGTCATGCCAATTAGGTTTAGGAATTTTCGTTGTTTGTAAAAATAGTTGATATACTATTTAATTTGAGGGGTTTGCACCCAGGAGTCATTTCAAAAGTAGGTTGAGTTCGATCGTCCGGGTCAACGTAGTCCTGAATAAGACTGTTGTTGTTGACAGTGACTACTTGATAGTGACTATACTATTTATTGTAAGACTCCAAATAAAAAAACATGTATTTCTGTATGTATCACATGTACGTCATCCGGTAGGCTTCTGAACTAACCTCTTGGTTTTTCTTAACTTTTGGTTTTGTTTTAGGAGCGACCTATTCTCGATTACATTGTAAAGTCCTGATAAAGAAGGACTTTGAGCTTGAAACTTGCAATTGGTTCCTACCAAGATTTCCTGCCCCCTTTTTTCACTTCGGGGTATTTTTGGGCAGGTTTTTGCTGGCCTCCGTCTGACCGCATATATTTCAGTTGTAAGCGGTAGCTCAGCTCTGCTAGTTTTCAGCTTTTTTTTTTCGGTTCTTCTCCTTATGCACTTGTACCGTTATCACCGTTGAGCACCTGTTCCTTTACTTAATATGTTTAGTTCCTATGTAAGTTTAGGCCAGCTGTCCCGGAACCGCTCTTTAGGTGGCGACATAAGTCTAGTATTTTGACGCAGTTAGATTGCAGGCAATGTTACAGACCTCTAGCCAGCGTCGTTATCCATTTGTTTACCCTAAATATCCTGCCGTAGCCTTTTCTGACAGTCTACCTGGCAATTGCTCTGAGTGCGTTGCTGGGTACATTAGTGAAGATGATTCTCAGTTTTCCCGGCGCTTATCTTCTGTGCTCCTACAATGTTCTGTTCCAGTTATCCGTTGGTCAGAATTTTATTACAAGTATTATATGTATTTTCCCAACCTAACTGGCGGCCTAACTGGCACTAAGCTTGCGTTAATTGGGGATACAGGTCGAGATCGACGAGTCGTAGCAGTTTTGTTTGTGAAAGCTAATTTGCGAGTGTTGTACATTAGTTCAATTTACCTATTGGTGTATCTACATACGTACTTTGCAGTAGATGGTTCTGGCCAAGCCGTCCCTAAATAAACTTATTTGCCTTTAGATTTTGTCTGTTGCCGTTAGTGGAGTCAAAATGTGTTGTTTTTGTCCCTGTCGACGCCGTCGCGGTTGGCTAAGCTCAAAATAACCCACGTTCGATGCATCAAAATTCTAACATGATCATGATTCCGAGGCTTTCTGGGCATTTTTTCAGTATTTGTTTGGTTTTCTGGTTACTAGATCCCATCAGCCTAAACTCTAAGCCTAAGCACTGACTAAGGTGATAAGGGTTACGCCCTGTAAATAGTGGTTAGGGTTAAGCACTGACTCGAGACGGTAAGCTTCTAGGTACGGTTAGGGTTGTTGCTATATAACTTCAAATCAAATCGCCTCTAGACAGCCAATCCTCAGAGGTCTTGTGGTAAGTTGACGAACTGCAGGCTTTACACTCAGGGTTCGATTCCACTCACGCTCCTCGGAATTTTTTTTGCCTTAAAAATTGAAGAGACATACACTTTGATGAACATTTGCTGAGCAGAATTGCATCTATTAAAGTGTAGTGTGGAAGCAATAAAGAATACTACGTCGTGTAAACTTCATAAGGTGACCAAGGGGTTTAGGCCGATGGGATCTGATGCTGGCCTGGTTTTCTTTGTGCTCAGGTCTCTTCAGGAAATTGCGAGACAATGGAGCGCAAGACAATGGAGTCATGAAAAAATTAATTGCAATTTTGTTCCTTAAGCCTGAGAGTCATCTTAGAATTTTAATATAGAAACTGTGGTATTTCTTGTAAAGCACCGGCACCCTCCTTCTCGATCGCAAGTTTGTGCCTTTTTGTCACAAGTACATGAGTGATCTTACCCTGGGTGTCAGAGGCTTTTCGTGCGCGGTTTCCGGTCTCGGTCAAGTCTTTGCGGCTCGTGTCTTCGGCCTTCGGCCAAACACGTGTCGGCCTGCGGCCGACGAAACGAGGCTCCCCGTCACACGCGAGAAAAAACCTCAGGTACCCAAGGTACATGTTGGAAATACAATAGCATGCGTAATACAAGTAGTATATGATGTATGACATCATCGAATTTGAAAACCTCCTTTTTCGTCCATCACACGTAAACGAGAAGCCAGTGTTTTCAAAATCTCTGCTCTGGGACCGTTTTTGAAAACCTGCGTTTTTGGTTCCCAAAAACGCTGTTCACATGCGGACGGAACGCTAACAAGGAGAAAAATTGTTCGTTTTTAAAAAGGTCCGGATGCGTGTTAGTCTGAAACGTCATCCGTCTCTACCAGATTAGATACACGAGTGTGTGGAGGGGGCGTCAGTAAACACAGTTCGTGTGACCATTTTGACTCAGTAGGAGGCCATTACCACATCAGATTATTCAGTGTGAAATAAACTAACGATCTAGTGTGAATGAACATGATACAGTAACTGACTGCATCCGCTTTGAAACAAAAAACAGTGTGAACACAATTGATCAGAAATTACTATGTCCCATATGTCTCTTTTACCCCAAGAATTTGCCCCCTAAAAGTCAGTGCAAGGCACAGAGATATTATCTGTAATGCAATGACAGCAAGCGATAGCCCAGCTATCAGAACAAGGTTATCTTTAAGAAACTGCACCGATACGGTAAGACATCCTTGTACATTGATTCTCTGCTCCCGCGCAGCTAAAGTGAGTTTATCTATTCCATAACCGCATTGTCGGTTTGTCTGTAGCTCTTCCGTTTTGCAACACGAATATGGAACACCGCAAGCTGAAATCACGGCCGAAGGAGCCGAGCAGTTGAAGTAAAAGTTGGCTTCCCAATCGGTATAAGCCTTCGAGCCACAGCAACCCAGTTCTGATTGCGCAGTGTCGATCAAAAAGTGAAGGTCTGGCTTCAGCGGATCGCGGTAAAAAACGATGGCGTTGCGTAGCTTTTCATCGACTTTCTCTTCCACTTTTGCGCTGTTAACGAAACCAATTATCCCGCAAACGATTTCCAGAATCAACAGAAAGATGATGATTCCCGCGTAAAACACCAGGAGGCAGGTATTTTCGCGTAGCGCTCCGATACAACCAGTGAAGGTTATAATAAACAACAGGCCTCCAAATACCACGAATATGACTGCGGGGTCGTAATACAAATCTGTCAGTTTGCTGTATACGTCACGTTTTTCTACCATAACGTAAATGCCAATGCCAAGGACAAGGATACTCAAGAACCAGAACAGAACGTTGACAAAGAATATAATGTACTTGATAACTTGCGACGGTCCGTCCTCTTCGACTGTCAGGTTCGAGGGACTCACTTGATTCGATCGTTCTCGGGTCATATCTGACGTTTCGAAAGCCGCTAAAGCCGCTTTTAACGTTTGGCTGAAGAGTTCTAGAAAAAACGAAGAAAAGGATTATAAGCGAAAATACACCAATCGGTACTCCACACGGGGAGCGTTCCATTGGGAAATCTGGAGTTAGATTTTAAAATCCGGATTTCGGATTTGCAATCGAACGCGAAATCTGAAAACGGATTTCAACGCTGAGATATCTGTTTTTGGACTTTCATTTTTACCGTTCAATCGGGGAATCCGAAAAAGGGTTTGAAAAACTGTCTTTAAGAACAGCGGTCTTACACGCCTACGCATAAATTGCAAAAAGAAAACCACTGTTCACGAGTGACAATTTTGCAGCTCAATTTTGCAAATCCTTTTTCGGATTTCTCAATCGAACGGTAAAAAGGTAATTTATGAAATCCGGATTTGGATTTCTTAATTGAAATCCACCCTGAGGACGGATTTCTCGGAGGTGAAATCCATTTTCGGAGTTCGCGTTCGATTGCAAAATGCGAAATCCGGATTTCCCAATCGGACACAAGCACAGACTTTATTAAATGAAATGAGAATTGAGGCTATATCTACAATATACCATAGCTATTGCGCCGGCGGCAAGAAAGGCATATCGGATCAGATAGGGCTTTTAGTCAAACCAGTAAGAAAGATGATTTTGGAGCGGTTTCAGAATTAACAACGGAGCGAAATTAGGCGTCTCCCCTCCGTAGAGGCTTCGTTGTGTCGTAGGGAGGGTGGGGAAAGGGAAAAAGAAAGCGCTCAGGGCATGAAGGGAAGGGGCAAGAGAGGAAGAGAGTTGGAGGGGAGGCTCTTTCTTTACTGTCTTCCCATTGTCCACCGCGTTCTTGCTTCCTTTATTTTCTTTTTCCTTCTTTTTTTAATCATTGTTTTTTATGTACCTCAGTCTTGGTAATAGAGTGTTTTCACATGACGTCACGGCGGCCATATTGGTGTTCCAAAACAATAAAACGGCGGCCATGTTTGTGTCCCAGACCAGTCCTATGGGAGTTGAACTCTTTTCTTATGCAAACGCTTTCTTTTGTTCCAATAAATTTGCATAGATGCTGGCCACGTGAGTGAAAACACTCTATTAATTTTGCGCGTCTTTAATTTCGCGTTTATCACCATTGTTGCCATTGTTATAAAATCGCGAAATTTAAAGACGCGAAATTTAAGTCCCATATAGAAAATTCAAATCACAGGAAAAAAACGACTAACATGTAACAACAACAAAACACACAGGAAATGTATCGACAAATGCACTTTTACTGGTAAGTTCCATTTTATATCTTCCGTTGTGAAATAACGTACGTTAATTTGCGAACATTCACAGTTTACCGTAAACGTGTTAATTTGTGAAATACTGATTCGGTTTGCTTGCTCCAGTTTATCTAGAACTACACTGGTCAGAATTTTTGAAAACTAAGATGAGGTTGACAATGCTTGAAAACCTTTGAATCGCGAAATTTAATGCCTTTTTTTCATATAAATTTGCCTATTTAAATGGCGAAAATAAACTCCGCGAAATACTGTTTCAGCAAAATCGCGAAATTAAGTACCAATAAGATATCTATTGGGATACTCAGCAGGAGCCGCTGAAGCGCCTGACCCACTAAGAAAACCGACTTTTGAATAGGTCTCTGTGTGGTTTATTGTAGTGTGAACAGATGATTTGACGTGTTCATAGCAGGCGGGAGTATGTCCACACGGATAGGCTGTCAGGTATAGCCTAACTGTGTCCAGCGAGACCAGTTGCTTCAAAAACGTGTCCCCTGTCGTGACAAGGGACCGAAAGGGATAGATAAATAAATTAACTATTGCCATTCTGTTGAAACGCCGTATTAGCGAGACCAAGTGATATTGCAATTGACACCCTACCGTAAACTGCCGCTTTAAGGCTCCCTTACTTAACCTCACCCCCCTGTTACGTGCCCATCTTGTGACTTCTAAACAAAAATGGCATACAATATGCTCCTATCCTTTACAAGCCCAGGGCTTTAAACAAAGCGATAGTTTTTGGTAGACAATGAACCCTGTATTAAGCGGACACCGTACTATGCGGACAGTAGCCGAAGTCCCCAAATTGATTTCCCTTATTTACTTTAAATGAAACCTTTATTAAGCGGACATCTCTATTAAGCCCGCGCGGACACCTAAAAAGTACCTGAAATGGCCATTTCTATTGTTGCCAACCTGTATTAAACTAGCCTCCCACGCAAACGTTCTTAGGGGTTTCGTCACGCAATCTTTCCTCCCCCACGTACAATAGTCGCCTCGATCTTCGTGACGTTATAACGGAATCTGTAAGAGCGTTATCGAGATATTTTGGGATAAAGTTTTTATCGTTACGTTGGAAATACGGTAAAAAAAGGAAAATCTTGATGTTTGGCCGTTATCTGTAGAAAACGATGCACTTTTGACATGCAATTTCACCTCATAGTAGTGAATCTTTTCAAAAACGTGGGTGATAGATCATGGAGATAGCTCCGGCCAATTGCTACAAAGAAGGATTTGATTAGTATGTATCATGGCGCTCTTGTTAGCGGTTTTGTAAACATTTCAGTCTACTTTAACAAATTATTGAATAATTTTTAAACCGCTCGATAGACTTTTTAAAAAAACCAAGATTCTTCTCGCAATTCAAACTGAGAATTAGTCAGCCACTTCTTCACTTTAAGACCCATTGCTGATGCTATCTGCCATACACTGTTCTACGAGCGGAGATGATTCTAGAAAGTTAGGCGGAAGTTTATTCTAATAAATTCACGAGTGGAAATAGCCCATTGTGGTACAGTGCCAAACATTAAAAAAAAATCAGCATATATGATACCTTTCCCTTGCAACCAGAAACTCGTCACGTGCTAGGCAGACACTGGGCGCGATCCATTCAACCAAAATTCAGACCGGTCCGACCGGGAAAAGAGGACCACCTCAAAAGGTGGACCTGTTTTTTCGAAACTTTTCCGGTTGGACCGAACCGATCCATTGAGTTTTGGACCGAAATTTCCGGAAATTTTGGTTGAATGGATCGCGCCCACTGTCTCGTGTCAATGTAACTGGATTATTACGCCGACTTCAAGTTAAAATAGAAAATATTTATCTCTTCAAAATAATAATAAAAACAAGGAGACGTCTTTAAACACTGGCTTTGCCCAAATTTTCTCGTGCTGCCCAAAAAATCTGAGTTGCCAAACTGTTCATTTGAATGGCATTTGACACCTCATATGACGTTATCTATCGAAACCTGTATTAGGCAGACACCCTGTGTTAAGCGGACACTACAGCATTCCCCGAGCGTGTCCGCTTAATACAGGTTTCACTGTATGAGACTAGTAGTAATCTCCTACCCAGAGACCTGTATCAGAGTCCTCGTCTACATATGTAACTGAACTTCGGATTTTAAAGTAGCCTAAAGGCTAGTATCTCAGATGAATCACACTTCACACATTAAAAAACATATCAACATGAAAACACAAACTGGTGCTAATGGTAAACGTCTAATTTATGAAACTATGGGAGAAAAGTAAACGTCTAAATTCCTTCAGATTAGTGGTTCTACTAAATGAATCAGGAATCAATATCTCACTGGGGCACATCTAACTCAGTTAAGACCACATGTTGTTTAGGGTTTTGACAAGGCAAAGTCCTTGGGTTTTTTGGTCAGCAGGATGCCAAATTACCAAAAAGTCAGAGGACTTGGGGTACGAGAAGCCCCCGGCCCACTGTCTGGCCCACTGCACCTTTAATATTGAGTTTGCTACAGTTGCTAGGCAGTCATGGTCGGTCGCGTGCGGGTCCGACCGACAACTTGTTTGTTTGTTTTCCGGTTTCTTTCTTTCCCACATTCTTTTCTCTCACAACCGAGATAGGTTTCTAGCCCGAGACTCATATAATCTTAATCCCAGTAATTAAGATTGGAAAGCTGAATATTTTAGGTACGTGTGTAGAGTGACATAATAGCTCTGATCACAGGAAACTATTTTAACTATGAACCTTGAGGACCATGTGTTGTTACAATTTTGAGATTCCTTGGAGATTATTATATATACACATATATCCGTTTTGAAATCGAGATTCCGAGCCGTAAAAGCAGACGAAAAATACGTAAGTCCATTTCTTTCGGTCACCATTACAAATGCACCCCATTTACGTTAAGAACGGATTCTAAGTAATTTGCATCTTCTCCGCAATCAATGCAACTGACTTAAAATCATGAACCATTACTTGCCTGCTTCATATTAAAATGAAAACAACAAAACAAATAGCCCTTTCTTCTTTTCAGAGTTCTCTAAACAAAATCGCGTGATGGAGTTAAGTGTGAGTCATAAAGTTCCGTGTTTAATAAGAAACATGCTCCATTGAGAAATTTATTTGCAAGTGAATAACTATTTGGATTAATATGTACATTGTACGTAATACGTAGCACGAACCTCGAAACTCGAAGCTGACAAGCCTTCGACTAAGACTATAAAATCAACATGACATGGGGCCCAATACTACGATAAAAATAATAAATATACTGAAAATACCGAAGAGAGGCTCCTTTCGATCAGATCTAGACAAGAGCGTAGCTCAAGACCCTTTCAAAATTCTTTACTTACTTTCAATCTTAGAACAGAAAAGAATGAGAGGCTTCTACCTTGTCGCCATGAACAAAGAAAAAATCTTACCAGCAGAGAGCAGATAGCAGGGCTTCTTAACAGACTGTTATTCCCACGCTTGGTTTTCAATCTCTAAAGAAATAGTTTGGCCCGCTTTCACGAAGAATTTCCTTTTCTATTCGCAGAGTATTAATTCATTAATTTAATTGCAACACAAGTATTCAAATAAAAGCTTGTTACGTGACTGTGGCAGAGAATCACCTTAGCAACTGTCAAAACAGTATCGTGTTAAATGTATGTTGATGATAGGGTAGCATCATCTCTTAACCAGCAGGAGGGCCGGGGTAAAGTGAAGTAAAGTAAAGTAAAAGCTTTATTAATGTGTCAATGTATTTAGTTTTCACAACTATTTGTGGAAACAATTGGGTACGGGATTTAGGTGCAATTCAGATCGTCGAGAAAACTATTGAACTGTGAAAAGCTTTCCTCAAGTGAATTTAGATGGAAAATGTCGATTTTCTTCATTTCAGTTGTCAAACTAGTGGATTAAATATAGCCTGCTGAAAAGTCTGCTTGCCCTACAAATTTTGCACTGAGGTATTATTGAAATGTTCGAAGGGGAACCGCATGTTCCCAAGAGCACTTGAAATCAATATGCGATATGTAAGTAATCAATAGAGCAAATTCCAAATCTAAAAATTCATACTTCGGTCCGAGACTTGGGGGAATGAAACAGTGTTTATCCCTCTATGGAGAGAAAGATCAGCAGCAATCAAAATAATAAAAAAACAAAGGACAACAAGCTGAGAAAACGAAAACAACGGGTTCGCTGAGGAACTATCTAAGAAGCCAATAAACTGACATGCTTGATGCGGTTTCACTGCTCGTCTCCTAATGTAAGGTGCTCGATTTCCACCGTCTCAAGGCTCCGGTGCCTGGAGTAATCCAAGACCGTCCTGGATCCTGGATTTTACGTTGTGGATTCAGGATCCCGGGTACTGGATTCCGGATTGGTTTTCAGTGACACTTGGATTCTGGATTCCAATCGTTTACGTAATTCCCGATTCCTTGAACTGAATTACGGATTCCAAGTCCAAAGTCCAGGATTCCGGAATCCACGACCAGAAATTTCCTGGATTCCAGACCTACCTATGTAAGGGGACCAAGACAGTCTTGGATTCTGGATTCAAGGCCAAGAATTCCGGATTTCAGGTACTGGATTCAGGATTCCTTGTCAGTGGAATTTGGATTCCGGATTGTATCGTTAACGGGATTCTGGATTCCTTGAGCTCTATCCCGGATTCCAAAGCCTAGGATTCCAGATTCCACAATTCCCGAGTGCCCTCTGAGAGTTGACATTGGAAATACAGTAATTTGGTCAAATATTTATAACAATAAAACCTGTTTCATGCTTTATCAACCTCGTCCCAAGAGAGCTTTTCCCTAAGGCGCCTTGGGGACGACGGCTGAAGCCTTATTGCCAGGAGTCATGTGTTCCTGTTTATTGCTGTATTTAGAAGAAGATTCTATGACGAATATTTTGAAGTATGGAATTTCCCAAGACAGCTGCAATGATAAAATCCCCCCCCCCCCCCCCCCCCCCCCCTTCCCCCGCTTTTTTCTTTCTCCCTCGCGTTTTTTTTTTTTTTTTGGGAAATTAAATTTTGTTTTTTTTTTATGTGAGAGGTAGGGGTGGGGGGGGGGGGAGGGGGGTGGGGGGTGGGGGGGTGATTGAGAAAAAAAAAAAAACAAACAAACACGAAACGAGATAGATACATAAGATATCACAGACCCAAGGGGGCTTTTCCCTAAGGCGCCTTGGGGACGACGGCTGAAGCCTTTTTGCCAGGAGGCATGTGTTTCTTTTTATTGCTGTATTTAAAAAAAGATTCTATGACGAAAATTTTGAAGTAAGGAATTTCCCAAGACAGCTGCAATGATAAAATCCCCCCCCCCCCCCACCCCTTAAGTTTGCCGCTTATGTATTTTCGCGTCAGGTTTTTGTAATGGTTACATGCAAATAAGATTTGTGATTTTATTATAAATATATTTTTTTCATCGTATGTTGTTGATTAATGCTGAAAAAAGATTAAAGATAAAAAAATAATAACAATAACAATAATAATAATAATAATTTAAAAACACATTATCGCTAGTCTGGTCCATCGCAAAAGGTTTTTTGAAGCCCACAAATAAGGACTGAGGATCGTCAGGATAATTAAAATAAACTTAACAACCCAAATGGCAGGAGGCAAACCAGTTAGCTACAAGAGATGAATTTGGGAGTACAGAGAACATAAATCCAGCTAGCGGTTAAAGCGTTGAATGAAATCAGAGCCTCCGGAATGCAATTACAGCCCTGTAACTGCTCATGATCAGCCACGCTGCCTTCTGTGTGCTAAATCAAAGTCTGAGGAAAAGCTTCAACTTTCATTGCTTTTCTTTCCGAAACAAAGCGTTCTGAATCATTAAATCAAACAAACTTTCAATAGTACAGCCAGAACCCTTAGCGACTGCACTTAAGGGACACAATGAAGTAAACGACCAGAACAGGTTACATTCCAGTAGAAATGGATTTCCATTGTTGTCTATTCGGAAGTCGAAAAGACCAAAGTCTTGGAGGTCTAACTCGAGAAAGGCTCGACAGCTTTGCTGCTGGATACGCCTTATTAGTTCTCCTTCCTTTTCAGGGTCAAGATACCAAGTCTTAACTTCTGCTGGCTTGCCTATTATAGAAAGAAAAAAAGAAAAAATAGTAACACCTGTCTGTTCCTTTCCCTCTGCGAACCCACAGATTAATTACTGAGCGAAAAATAGACATTTAAAAATGTCTCGATAACCAAAGATAAAATATTTTGCCATTATAATGGGTACATGAAATGAAAACCAAGACAACGTCGCCTATAAGCTCTTGTTCCTGAGCTCCAAGCTTGAAATGCAGAAATACAGAATGAACAATGCATAATACTAACTATCACCAACTAGCACAATCGACCCTGGCTTGTCCCTTGCCTGGTCCCTAGGCCTCATTATTGTGCGCGGCCGATGCGTTTCGGGTTACGTCACCAAAATGCATTGACCGAAAGGGCCTGGGAAGACGCCGTACAGGGACTAGGCAAGCTTGTTCACAGTCGTCTCTATTTGTATCGCATGCGGCGATCGGCGTGACCGAATGGAGCACAAGGGGTGATGGGAACGACGAAAACGAAAGAGAGTCTCCACTCTTTCCTCCTTCCCGTCATCCCTTGCTCTCCTCTTGACCTCGCTACTCCCGTTAATATTCACAGGAGGCTGAGAAACGACTTGGGACGAGTCAGTTATCGAACACTACATGGAAGTTTAGGTAATAATAAATAGAACTGGACAAATATAGACCACTTTAATATTGAATTGACAGTTAACTGATAATTCATGATGTGGCGGAAGAGGGACTTACCAAAATCAGGCCAAGAACAGTGAAAAATCAAGTCAAGATGCCAGATCAACGGCAGATAATATTTAAATCTGCTTTCCCAAGAAAGTATTCTACAAAAGCATTTGAAAACTTCAATATCCTTTGCGCGACATGCCCTAATTCGCGGGCCTGGAAATCCCCTTTTAGCTTTTCCAGGATCCTCCATCTCCCACTGATTACGGCAAAAGTGTATTCACATTTTAGGCTATTTTTAGGTTACACGCTTCTAGCTTTTCCTATCTCTCGCTCCTCCTCTTCGAACGAGCAAAGCCTGTGAGCAAGCTCTCCATTTCGGGTTGCGAGCTCTTGACTTCTCTCGATGTCCCCAGCCTCATTCCCAGGCCAGGTCGTCCTATCCGAGTGAGCAGAGGATGCTTGGAACCGAGCGGGATAGTCCTGGGCGAATTCTTCCGACAAGGCATACAGGTGACGGCAGATTCGATATCGCCGACGACGCTGAATAAAATGGAGAGAGCTTGCTCGCACGCTAAATCGAACAGCGCTTTCGATTTTGACTTTGTTTATGACCAAAAAAATGGAATACTCACCTACAGGCAATCCTTCTTGATTATAGACATACTTCTCCTCAGACTTACGGATGTCATCGTGGCACACGTTGTATTCCATACACGACAAAGCCTTTATATTCCCAGTTTCTTCTGATTTGATGACGGCGCAACGGATCTCCCGTCCTTCTATGAATCTGCATCAGAACAAAAACTTGCTTCAGCACTAAGCTGAATTCATCCAAATCGCATTCAATCTTTGAATCCATGTTGTTTAATGATAACATATGCGCCTCCTTTTCTTACCGAGCGACGCGTTTAATTATCCAAACTCTTCAACTGTTCGGCTGACTGTAACCGAGACAAAAAAGATGATAGCGTATGATAATTTCACGACAACGCTCTTTTGAAAAGAATTATGCTTCCCATTTTTTCTGTCATTTTGTTTCTTCTATTAAGTATTAAAATATTCTTATTGGAGCAATCCTCAAACAATGCCTGAAATGCTAATAAGATATGGTAGACTCAGCACAAGGTGGTAGGATACTGGAAGCTCCTGTAAGTTCATCGCTGCGAGAGCTGGGTGGGGTGCATAAACACCAAAAAGACTGAGCACGCTATTAGGAAGAGGAACTGGCCTTCTTGAAGAAGCTCACAATGTACAGACACGTATAGGATAGCCAAGGGGTATACGCGGGGTGTTAGCGGTTACGTGATAGAGCTTAAACTATATATTGTCAATTCCCCAGAGAGAATATGACAATTTTACTCGACGTTAATTTATTTTTTGGCCTATATATCTATTATACTGCACATCTTTTCTCAGTGATAGCGCATCCAAAAAACATTCCCGCAGACGAATAATTTCAACGTTACAACCTACCTTTCAATAATGACTTGGGTCGAAAAAGTCAGCGCATGTGCAATAGCTGCATCTAACGACTGCTGGTCCTTTACCAGTCGCACTGCTCTGGTATCCTCTCCTTTGCTTGCCTTGACAACACACGGATACTGGATGAGCTCATTTGGTATGCGATCTCCTGTAACCAGAAAAATATCCTTAACGTTTTCGATACTTCTAGCGAAATCGACCCCTTATCTCTCACTCATGATAGCTCGCTGTCAGGCTACACATGTCGCGTGAGGTTCTGCGACTACCACATCTTTCCTATTTTTTTAACAGTAAAAGGTAGAAATATAAATGAAGATATGATCGTCACAGTGGTGATTGCAATTTAAGCAAACGCGAAATTGCAAATTAAATCTAAAAAAAAACTTTCGGGACTTCAACGGGATTCGAACTAATGGCCTCTACATTAGCGCTGCACCAAAAGCAGAGCACTGCAGTAAAGTACCTTTTTTAAGAACTACTCCCTCAGCACAAGAGACATCGCCGTAGGCTTGCAAAACACTCCGTGTCTTTAGTTTGTCCATGCTAAGGTATCTCGATTCTGCTGATCCGCCCACCAGAGGAATATTCAAGGCTTCGAAGAGAGCCCTTTGACAAGAAGAACAAGGAATCAATAACAATACTCGACTACCTTACCGAGGCCCCGTTTATGCCTTCCCCCTCCCAGTCAACTTTAGCGAGCGTTTATATGAGAAAAGAATTGATCCTTTGCCCCACCCAACAGCACTCGCTGATTGTCTCGCCTTCACCAAGATGACTCCCGGGGGAGCGGGAGGGATGGGGTACTCCCTACTTTATATTTGCCTTATAGGTATGTGCCGCCCTAAAGGGTATGGTTAAGTTTGTGCGTCGTTTTGGTCTGAAAACGGGCATAGATTTTGCCTATATCGGGTATGGTTTTCGAGGTAATACGGGAGTGCATGAACATATTTGTTTTACCGAGCTTTTTCTTATAATCCTTGAGCTTACCCGCCTACATTAAACAGGTGAAGTGTGGCGTCATGCAAATTCAAATTTGTGAAATTAAGGGATTGATTGCTTTGCACATCCAGAAAAAAGGATACGATGAAAAATATCCCCTTGTTAACAATGAGTCAGTTGGTGCAAATTGGTGAGGAGCTAAGGGCACTGTTATGTTCTGATGACTTCATACAAATCCCCCTACAATTGGCTTGGATCGTAACGTTTACGGTCCAGGCCTTTTCCAGAAAACTTTGTATGGAGTCTTGGGAGCATGGTAGTGCTTATATCTCGTCACCAATTTTCATCATTTGACTGTTTTTTTTTTTTAGCCAAGGGAAATCATCTTCTTCTATCTGGATATACCAACCACTGCCAAAATTTCACCAATTCAGTTTTTGTGACGTCATCATTTCTTCTTCTCTATTATTGTATTGTGTGCGGTGTTCCATCTAGGGCGTTTAATCGGAGGCGGTGTGTAATCGAGTACATATAGTATATTCCTAGGGAATGAGACAGTGTTTCATGGTAGATCTAGGCTGTGCCAGGCTCTCAGATAGTAGGAGTGTGGCGAAAATAAGGTTAAGGAAAATAGGACGCGCGTAATCTGGGAAAGGGGGCGGCAACCTTCTCTCTCCCCAGCCCCCGCGCGTTTTTTGTATCAATTTTCACGATCTCCGCACTTGACTATCTTGGAGCTTGGAACACGTTAGGCTAGGTGGGTCTTGCGCTTCGTTCATTTGACTCGTGTATCCTTTCGTCTTTTTTCTGTCATTTGTGGAAAATAGCTCAAATAATATAATCACTACGTCACCCAGAGCTCATACCCCGGAGCAATGCAAGTAGCTCAATTGCGTCCAAAAACGGCGTTCTCGTAGACTATGCAGTTTAATATTTAGATCGATTTTCCTGCGAATTTTTAATATCGAATAAGTCTTTCAAATCAGTTATCAAAAATCGGAGACAAGGAAATAGTATTTGATAGCCTTTCTTTCTTCTTTTTATAATTATCGTTAACTTATACCATTATGAATAAAATAAAAATTGTTTCTGACCAGTAAGTTGTTATTCCTTTCAGGCAATAAAAGTGGATGAAAGCCAGATCAGGTTTGATGACAGATTTTATGTGTTGTAAGGCGGCTATGGTTTCCATCCTCTCCACTTTGTTTTCTCTTTCCTCTACTTTTTCCACATCTACAATGTCGGAAAGTTTTTTCACAAACGACCAGGTACCGTCCGGTCGAGCAACGGCGAAGCTGAAGGAATACTTTCCAGATCCTATGCCATCGGCGTCAAAGTGAGCAACATAAAAAATATTCAAAGTGAAGCTATAGTCATCTGTAGGTGAGCCCACAACGTGCAAAATCTAAAACAGGAACGAGAGTAAATGGAATCATTTGGGGCCTAAAGTACTGAAATCTTAGGGGGAGGTAAGAAGGAAAGTGAAAAGTATTACTGCAAAGCCTGAGTTTTGTCATGCTCTCTTTTCGCAACTGCGAAAGTTGCGTCTTTAACTGCGATGATCCTCTTTCCCTTTATTTTCTTATTCCGTGGTTCCAATATATGGAATTCATTATTAATCATTTCGTCTTCATCCTTCCCTAGTATGCTACGAAGCAATTTGATGGCCAGCTCAAGGTTGAATTGCTATCGCAATTGGTTAGAGAGATACACCGGTATCGCAGAGCCAGAGGTTCGAATCCAGACCAGCCTGAATTTTTTCAGGCTTCAGGTTTCTAATTGCCCGATGTTTAAGTTGCGTCTTTATTGCGACGATCATCTTTACATTTAGTTTTACTGTTCTTTATAAACTAAAACACAAATTTCCTAAACTATTAGCTCTCTTTTTCTTTTGTAACTGAGCCGCAGTAAATATCTTCTGCTATTGACAAGTGGCACATTGATATTTATAGACGGCTTCGAAAACGCGCATGCAGGGTGACACGGAAGCCATGAAGCTCCAATTGAAACAAAAAATCTTAGACATTAAGAACAATACTTTTCCAAAAGGAGAACTGGAGCAACACTCTTTGAATACATTTTTTTTGTACGAATCAACACGAAAATTTTGTTGCCATTTTTCCTCAGATGACTTTAATGAAACCTCAAAAGTTTATAAGAATTCAATAAATCCATCATAAAAGACGATATCTGGAACTTCATTCCCAGTCTCTTTCTCCTTTTCCATTGTTTGATGCAAAAAAGGGGAAACGAAATTTTCAGCGGGGTACACCCTGTAATTTACTGCACTGCTACGCCCAAAAGAAGAAACCTTTTTCAGGCTTCTGGGTACATAAAAGGGTAGGGATTTCAGTAGTTGAAGTATATAAAAGGATAGGGAAATCTGTCATTTCGATCTGTAAAAGCACCTAAAAGAGCTAACACGTGCATTTTATGGCTGTGAAAAAAAAAAGAAGAAAACCCCGAGGTCCGATCGCTTACCGATTTATATACAAGATTTCTCTATACCTTAATTATGTACTAAATTAAATTTCTGCCGTTTCATATACCTGAGTCTGAAAAAGGTAGCCCTTTCGGGCGGAGCCCCAATCTATAGGCCATTACAGGAAAGGGCCGATATATTTGAGGCCAATATTTCGGCTAAAAAAAATTAGCCTTCTTCAAGGCCAGACCACACGTTGAAAAAGAATACTTTTTCAGTGTAGCTCTGGAGGCTTATTTTGTCAGCCGAAATATTGACCTTAAATAAATCAGCCCTTTGCCGTTGTGCCAGCCTAACATTCAGTTTTGTTTTAATTCACTTCAAGTGACTTCTGCGGGCATTAGCATCTCTAAACATTAGAGATCCGGCAAGAAAGAACCAGTCGGTTTTATTTATGCGTTGAGTGGAAGTCTGTATTCAAAGGCTTTCACTATTACAGGAAGTACCCAAGGAACCTCAGTATCTCCATAAAAAGTAGTCACTCATGCCACTACAGTTTAAGTTTTTTTTTTTTTTTAATTTCAATTAAGACAAAGACTCCCATTTTTGGAGGATATAACTGTGACCATTTCGAGATCGTTATGGGGGTTTCTTTTTGTTATAATCCAAAGTGATGCTTCGGTGAGGGACTAACTTTTGAAGTCAATAACATTACAAGTACAATTCTTATGGTATTTCTGATAATACCTTCAAACGTCTGTCCACCATATTCTTCTGATAGCAATTCAAGTCCAAATCCTACAAAAATACAAAATATCCAACATGATGAATGGTTACCATGAATGCCGTTTTTGGTAATGTCACACTCAAATGACCAAAATAAAGGATTTATAGGGGGGGGGGGGGGGGGG